GGTTAATGTCCAGATACGTGGACCGTCATGGCGGCACTTCCTGTTTCAGCCTCGAAACCAGACGGTTTGCAGACGTGTCACGTGACGCACCGACGCACGTTCTAACCTAACCTAACCTATTCTAATAAATTAGCATAATTATTACCAATTATATTATTAGAATAGGTTAGGTTAGGTTAGAACGTGCGTCCCCACTGTGTCCTTTTCTTTGCTGGGATCAGCGATGAGGCGCCATGACAGCCGCCGACGTTCGCTCGCGTCGTCACGTGACACGTCGTCTGCAAACCGTCTGGTTTCGAGGCTGAAACAGGAAGTGCCGCCATGACGGTCCACGTATCTGGACATTAACCATAGAACTTTTGCAAAAGGAGTATTTGGTAAATTAAAACTGTTTCAAGCTTTTCTGTATTTTTGAAACAGTTTTAACCTGATTAGAGAAATCTCAAACTCTTTTAAATCAGCACCTCAATTCACAAACACTTTCTGCATCTTACAATTAGTTTATGCTCCTTGTAAATAATTTTATCACTTACTCTGCTCTATCAGCCAACCAGAAGCGTGGCGTAGCAAAGCGCTGGGTCTGGTGTATGTCATGTACACAAAATGTGTGTCGTCGTGGGAAAACTAAACCTCGAATGATAGGGGATAGTGTAGTGATGTGCGGTTATGTGCAGTTAATGTAAAACTGTAACCGGAATGAAAGAAGCTGGTTACGAATTATCATCGACCAGTTACTTGGTAGGAGTGTGTTGCAGTCGGAAGGCAAACTTGAAACGTCGGCCTTCTCTGGTCCACTGGAATTAAAAACATTTTTGTGCAAAACTTTCTGTAAAAAGTAACTTTTATTTAATTTCGTTGCCGATTGCAAAATGCTCTTGGAGACGAAAGTAGATTTTCTCTGAATGGAAATGCAGTGGCCATTTGTTCGGTCCTCCGCCTCCAATGCATCCGGATGGTCCCGTACAGTGTACAGATGGTGGATGTGGCTCTGTTTAACCAGAATGGGGTGTTGCCGTGCAAACGGGCAACGTTGGTTGCCGTTTCCTGCCATACGTAGTTAACGGCAAGGTGATAATGGAAATATTTAAGTTCCAAGTTTAAAATTAAAATGACGTGGTGTATCGGTTGATAAACGAGTTTGCTCTTCCTTCCAATAAATAATTTTGCAGACTCGTTAATCTTTAAATACTGTATATCTCGGCAGATAAGATGATAGTTGAATCATAAAAAAAACCCCCCAAAATCCGGGGTCGTCTTATAGGACAGATACAAAAAAAAATTAGATTGAAATTTATATAAATTAAAACCATTATTAAAAAAACAGGCAAATTGTAATTATTTACTAGTAGAGAGAGTAGGATATGTGCACAAAATAGAATAGCCCATACGACGTTTTTGTGAATAGTCAGTCATTATCTGAATGCTGAATCAGTGCGAATGTTTGCAACAATTGCAAGGCAGTGCTGCCAAATGCAAGAAAATAAAATTTGTTAATTTGAAAAATTACAAATAGGACATAATTCCATATACACTATACAGTATTATTATTCAGATGATGATTGCTGACCTAAACTAAATTCATAGGTTGTTGACAGTTTGGGGGGGCGTCTTAAAGGACAGATATATGCTAAAACTATAAAACTTTGACGAAAATTTATACCTCATCTTATCTGAAGGTCGTCTTATCTGCCAAGATATATTGTACATTTTTATGTCAAGTTGACATCATTTCTACCTTTTTTGAGC